CCACCTTTGAGATATAATGTGTAGTGTAAAGGTTGAGATACTGTGATGTTGCATCCTAATGGATATGGGGTGATTTGTGGATCTACTGGATTAATGTTTGGCTAAATCTGACCATATATTCAACTACCCTTTTCCTTCCATCTTGGATTTCCAAAACCCAAACCAGGTGACAATTGCGATGCTTGCGATTCTAACATCCATTTTCCAGTCAGCTGTTCTTTATAGCATTCTCCCCTGCCTGCCACCCCCATTGTGATATTCATTTAAAAGAATTTTATTTTTATATTTATAATTCCCCCTCTTACTACACCTACAATTTAATAATCTAAAAAAAACTAAAAAATTAAACTCTTATTATGAACACATGTAGTATAGTCCAGAAAATAAATTCTCACATCCATCACGCCCAAAAATATATAACTCTCTCTGTATTTTAAGATCAGCACCTCTCTGGCAGGAGGTCAGTATAATGTTCCATCTTAAGTCTTCTGGACTCATGGTTTATCATTGTATTTAGTGATCAGAGTTCTAAAGTCTTTCAAAGTTTCTTTTTCTTCTCTTTAATGTTGTTGTGTGCACAAATTAGTCTCTTAATTCTGGTCACTTCTTTCTGATTCTGTTATTTATTTTTAATATTAATTTTTTAAAGATTTCGAACTCCAAACTCTCCCCTACTCATTGAAAAGGCAAGCAATATTATATCAATTATATGGTTCATAAGGTCTTACAATTTCCTATGAAACTGTACATTTTGTCACTTCACATGACATAATAATATTCCATTACATTCCCATGCCATAATTTGTTTAGCCATTTCCCAAGAGGGGAGACCCCTCTTAATTTCCAATTTTTGGCTACTATGAAAAGACTTTTTATAAATATTTTCATAAAGGTTAGGCAGCATAGCATAATGAGTAGAGCATTGAAAAGAGTCAGGAAGTCCTGAATTCAAATCTTGCCTCATACTCACCAGTTATGTGACTCTGGCCAAATTACCTAACATCTGTCTGACTCAGTTTCTCATCTGTAAAATGGGGATGATAATGGCACCTACCTCTCACCATGTTGTGAGGATAAAATAGATACTTGTAAAGCACTTTGCAAACTTTAACAACGCTACATAAATGTCAGCTAGTATATTTTTGTACATTTTTGTTTTGTATATACAAAGTAAAAGGAAAGGTCTAGTAATGGTATCATTGGATCAAAGTATATGCAGTTTATTAACTTTTGGACATAGTTCTAAATTGATTTCCAGAATGGATGGGGGGGTGCAGCTAGGTGGCGCAGTGGATAGAGCACTGGCCCTGAAGTCAGGAGGACCTGAGTTCAAATCTGTCCACAGACCAAACACTTGACACTTACTAAGCTGTGTGACTCTGGGCAAGTCACTTAACCCCAATTGCCTAAAAACAGACAAACAAACAGAATGGATGGACTAATTAGTTCATAGCTCCATCAACAATGCTTTGATGTGCCTGCTTTCCTGCAGCCCCTTCAACATTTGTTATTTTTCTCTTTTGTCATCTTTGCCAGTCTGATGAGTATAAGGTGGAAGTTTAAAGTTGCCATAATTTATGTTATTCTAATTACTAGTGATTTAAAGCATTTTTCAAGGCTTAATGTTAGGTTGGATTTATTCCTTTCAAAACTGACTGCATCTTTTTTTTTACTAGCTATCTACTAAAGAATATCTCTTAAGTCTTATAAATTTGAATCAGTTTCCTATATATGCTGCATGAGATGCAACAAAATCCCCCCCCCCAATTTACCTGCTTTCTTTCTGATTTTAACTATGATTTGTGTGAAATGTTTTAAATTTTATATAATCAAAATTGTCCTTTTTATCTGGTGTGATCCTTCTTCTCTCATTTAATCATGAACTTTTCTGCATTCATAAATCTGAAAGGTAATTTCTTCCTTGCTTCCCTAATTTATGATCTTTTATCTCTAGATCATTTATTTGGAACTTATTTTGGTATATGACACGAGGAGTTGGTCTAATTTCTGCCTGACTGCTATACAGTTTTCCTAACAGTTTTTGTCAAATAGTGAATTCTTCCCTCAGTAACTTGGGTGTTTGGGTTTATCAAAATTACATCACCATTCATTTCTATATATGATGTACTACTCTTCCACTGATTGAGCTATTTTTTTAATCAATTGTTAAATTGTTTTAATGATTACTGCTTTGTAGTACAGTTTGAGATCTGATACTTCTAGGCCCCCTCCCTTTCCACTTTTCCCCTTAAGATTTTTGACCTTTCAATCCTCTGCATTAATTATTTTTCTAGCTCTGTACAATGTTCCTTTGATAGCTTGACGGTTTCTCTTAGCTTTTCTTGATTAGCCTAATTTACCACCTCTAGCACAAAGATATAGAGTGGAGAGAATGAAGAGGATGTGGTATTGAAAGGCCATGAAGAGATAGGAGAAGGGAGACACAGAAAGGGAATGTTGTAGAATTGGGAAAATTCCACATCCACACCCTAAACTCAAAACCTGTGTGGGTGGTTGAAACAACAGCCTATGCAGTTTTCTAGCACCCTAAGGTCCTACTAAACTGCACCTCTGGGGAAATAACTTGCTGAGTTCCAACATGACACCTAAGTAGGTCAATCAATGAACACAGCCCTGAATGTCCTAGGAGTATAAGGAAATAGCTTGTTAAGGCATATGAGAAGTGGGAGGGGGACAGGCGTCATAAAGACAGATTCAAAACCAAAAGAAAGGAACAAAATGAGACAGTTGCACAAGGTTGTAACTTCGTGGCCTTAACTCAATACTGCCTCATTTCCTTCTACTTCTCCCCTCGTAAAAGTTTTACTAGTAGAAAGCTCCATTTATCTCTAACCTGCCTTCTTCAGTAATTAGACTAGGTGAGTAGAAGTGATTCTCAGACTGGACCTGAAAACCTGGGGGAAATTCTGGAAATCCCAACAAGGCCAAGATGTAGGAGATGATGGCTGCCAGGAGATCCCCAAACCTGATATTATGGGGACTAATTCTGTACAACTCATCAGCAGTTTGACTACAGGATGATTAACTTTTTGGGCACAGCAACTTTGGAATATTATTTAGTACACAATCATAGATAGGTGATGACCTCCATCAGTGGAGGAAATGGTCACATGAAATCAGGGATCTTTCAATTCAAGAGAAAGGAAAAAAGGGAAAAGATGGGAAAAGATGTCGACAGCTAGAAGTACAGGCAGAGTAACCTTGGTGTGGCCACAGGGTCTCTTCAGAAGGACCTAACGGTTGCTGATAGACCCTTGACTTAAGCATCTTAAAACATCTGGAACTCTTAGTTTTGAGGCCTAGGGTAGGAAGGAAGATCTGGCCTAGGGAAATCAGACTCTTAAATTTGCTGAAGACTACAGTGCTTCGGACTGGGAAAAGGTTTAGGTTAAATGGTAGTTCTGAATCAAAAGAAGAGTAACATTAGCACCAGGGCCTCAGTTTTCTGGGCTTCTCTCTTGTCTCTGTCAGCACTGACTCATCCTTCAATTTCTGTTTTCAAGGGCCAGCAGGTGGCTCCAGGAAAGCAAAGAAGCAGGGATCATTTATGGACTTGATCCTGGATTGTGAATATTCTGCAGTGAAGGACCTACTATAGGCTTCCCAGGGTGGGTAGTGGAGTCAGATTATTGCCAGAGGGGGTATTATAGTTAGGGTTTCTGGGATTATTTAGGGAAGGGAGGCATCAAATTCTGGAAGGGAGGTCTGAGGGAACAGGAGTTTTTAGTGACACTGGAAGGAGTGGGCAAAATATCAAGGCAGATGTGTGTAAAGGGGAAAGGTTCTCAGGGAAGAGTGTATCTGTGGGTGCATATGTATAAATGTGTGTATACACAAGTATTTGTATATGTTTATGTATGTGTATGTATATCTGAAGTCAGTGGGATGATATGATTGGGGAAGTGTTAAAGTTTGGGATGTCAGATGTGTGTGGAAGATTTTAGAATTGTCTTAAGAGTCATCAAGGAAAGGGGTTGGCTTTAATGGGGTTTCAGTTCAGAGGATATGTGGAACAGAGCAGAGAGGATCAAAAAGCAAGGAGGAGATATGGAGGAAGTGTCAGGGATGAGATGAGCCTGTGCGTTGAGGAAGGAGTGCAAGGAGAGGGAAACAGGGGAAATGTGAGAGGGGAGTATACAGCAAGGATAGGATCACGTATTAGGGACTGCACAACATATGAATAGAAAGGAGTTTGTGTAACAGAGATGGTACATGTTAGAGAAGGGTAGGATAGGGTGTGTTAGAGCTAGGTGTCTGTTAGGCTTGTGGTATGTTTGTATAAGGATAGCACGTATGTGGGAGGTGGACTTGAGAGGAGAGGGCTTGTGGAAGGAGTGTATCTGGATATGGGTGTGTTAGGGATGGGGCTGCAATTGCATATGGAGTGTGTTCATGGGTGTATCTAGGATGGCGAATGTAGGTGGAACCTAGTAGCGTAGAGTACGTGTTGGGGGGGAAGAGTGGGGCATTTGGATATAGGCATGTTTCAAAGGTGGGGTGTAGAAATGTAGTCTAGTTAAGGGTGTGTGCATGTATCTATGAGGTTATTTGGATATAGGAATATGTGCCAAAGTGGTTGTGTGAATGTGTGGACCCCACTAGAGGAGAGTGTGTGGGGTGCTGGACGGCAGTACAGGAGTGTGTGTGAGGGTATGGACATTATGGGGGGGTGGACCCCAGGGGGAAAGTGTGTATTGGACCAGGTGGGGATAAGGAGGGACGTGTATGGAGAAGTGAACCCCAGTGGGTGAGTGTGCTGGAGGGGTGGGTGTGAGGGGGGGAGAGTGTGCGTGTACTGAACTGGACGGGGGCAGAGTGTCCGTGCGGGGGACCCGGCGGGCGCGGGGTGCCAGGTCCGTGGGAGCAGCGTCTCGGGGGCGCCCCCTGCCGCCCGCGGGCCCCGCCTTCGAGCCCCGGAGCCTCCTGCCCGCCGTCGGTCTGCCCTCTGCTGCCGCAGCTGCCGCCATTGTCCTCCGGCGGCCGCCGCCGCCGCCGCCGCCGCCGCCTCCGCTCCCACAATGCTCGTCTAGCCCCGAGTCCTCGGCGGCGACGGCGGCGGCGGCTCCAAGATGGCGCAGACAATCTTCGAGGCGCTGGAAGGTGAGCGGCGCGGCGCGGGCCGGACTGCGGCGGCCGGCGGGCGGGCGGGCGCGCGGGCTGCGGCAGTGGCTGCAGGGCGCGGAGGGGCGGCGCGCGGCCCCGGGGAGCGGCGGGCGGGGGTGGCTGTTCCGCGCCGCGCGCCGCCCCTCCCTCCGCGCCGCTGCCGCCACCAGCCCCAGCAGCCTCGTTGCCGCCGCCGCGAGGGCTGGGGCCAGGGCGCCCTAGGAGCGGGGGCGGCGGGGCCGGGTGCCTGGAACAGCCACGACGAGGGGCCTCGCGCGCGGGGAGGGCGGGAGGAGGTCTGCGGCCTGGAAGAGCCGGCCCGCAGGCCCTGGCGTGGGAGGGGCGGGCCGAGAGGCCCCCGGCCGCCATGCCTAGCCGTACGCGCACAGAGCGCACCGAGCGACCGAGAAAGGCCGGCCTCGTCCGGGCTCCGGGGGCCTCCCCCCGCATCCAGGCCGCCAGGGAGGCTTCGGGGGCTTCCGAGACCTCTGACCCCCATCGTGTCGGCCTGGATACCGGCCCTGGTGCGCACAAAGATGGATGGGCGCAGGCCCCTGCCCTTGGAGAGGTCACACTCTAACGGGAGGTGGGGGGAGGGAAGGAGGGGGAGCGTAGGGGCAGCCGCCGACCCGGCCCTGAATCCCCACTCCCCCTGCTGTCCGTGTGACTAGAGGACCTGGAAAGGACCTCCAAGATCGTTGCGCGCGCGCGCGCGCGCGCACACACACACACATATACACACACACACACACACACACACACACACACACACACACACACGAGATTAACTTTTATTGATGCCCTTTATTTCATTTCTGAATAGACTTCCAATTCCTCTCCTACTTATGCTTCCTCACAAAGATTGAGAAAGGAAAAAGTAAGCTGCTCCGCAAGACATGGAAAAGACACATGGCGGCAACCGCACCCCTCCTCCCTCCCCTCGGCATGGAGGGCAGGGAAGTGCATTTTCTTAGTTCTTCTCCGGGCCAGACACAGTCATTACATCAACTTAAAAGGACACTAAGTGTCCTTTTTGTTGTTCTATCCTGTGCCATTATTGTTGTCCTGTGTATTTGATCCTGCATCAGTTCAGAGGAGTCTTCCCAGGCATCTCTGAAACATATTCTTTGTATTTTACAGTTAGCAATATTCCATTCATGCTCTGTAATTTGTTTGGTCTATTGATGAGCAACGTTTCTTTGTGACCACGGAAAATAGTATCACAGAAAGACCTTTCTCCCTTTTGTCTCCTTTGCAGTGGGATTTTTGGGGTCAAAGGTAATGAACATTTTATTCACATTTTTTCTTAAAATTCCAAATTGTTTTCCAGAGTAGTTGGACCAAGCAACTCCAACAGTATGCTTTCTAGAAGACTCTCCAACATCGACTATGTATATCTTTTCTTATCTTTGGCAGTTTTCCATCTTCAACATTGTTTTTCCTATTATTTGAGGTTTGAAGCAATCTTTACTATGCCTATCCCTTCATTTTTCAGATGAGGAAACTGAAGTCTAGACATAGGAAGTGACTTGCCCAAGTCTGAATAGGTCATAAGTCCTAAGTACTTAGGGACTAGATTTGAACCTAGTTCTCCTTGGAGGTGGTTGTAAAAGCTGTAGACCCAGAGGACCTGGTGTCAAAACTCAAATCTGAAAATTTACTATCTGCTATTGGGAAAGTTACTTAATCTCTGTATTCCTTAGTGCCTCCATCTTTAAAACGAGAGGCTTAGACCAGATGGACCCCGAGGTCCCTTCTAGTTCTGAATCTGTTATCTCTGAGTCCTATCCTATACCCTCTACTCTTATTGGCTTCAATTTCCTTACCTGTAAAATGAATTGGTTGAATTAGATACTCTCACAGGGCTTTTTGAGATCTTAAAATCTATAATTGTATACACAAATAAGTATAATAAAAATGAGAGTGAGGAAAAGGGAAAATAAGTCAACAAATATATTAAGTGCTATCTTCATAGGATTTAATAAAGGCAAACTGAGGCAAAAAGGTCTGAGTATGTTGAATTTATTAGCAAAGCGAGAATTTACTGATAAATAGGATCTCACCTTCCTAAGGAAAGCTAAGACCCTGAATGAGGGAGCCAGTTCTCTTTTGTAGTTTTGAGAATACAGAAAATAGGAAGCCTAGAATCACAAATGGAAGAAAACATGATTGGATGGAAATTGGGAATGAGGGCTAGCAACAACCCCTTCCTTCCCTCCTGTGAATAAGAATGTTCATTGTTTGAGTCCAGCTGCATCTGCAACGATAAAGATAGCAAATCAGACTTCTTTGGATAACAAACTAGACATACTTGAAGGATAGCTTGGTGGTGTAAAGATGCTAGACTAGACTCCCTGGTGTCCACCTGACTTCTTCAAGGGTAACAGATTTCTTGATGCAAGAATAGAACAGTGATTAACAAGAGAACTGGATTTCTAAACTTAACTCCTTACAGGACAGCTGAATTTCTGAACTAGTTTCAGAGACAAAGAATCATGACTTAAGCAATTACAGGACAAAATTAATCAATTGTAAATAGGATCAATGAAAAAGACACAGAATCAGTCTGATTATTTCAGTGCCTACTAGATGTGACAGGGGTACAAAGAAAGGTAAAAGACAGCCCTTGTTCTCAAGGCGCTCACAGTCTCATGGTGAAGACAACAGGCCAACAACTTTATGCAAATGAAATACATACTAGATAAATTAGAGTAAGGTGCTAAGATTAAAGAGGACTGCCTTTTGCAGAGGGTGGGACTTCAGCTGAAACTTGAAGGAAGTCTGGAGGAGGAAATAAAAAGGAAAAGAGTTCTAGACATGGGAGATAGTGAAAATACTCAGTCTGGAGATGGGACATCCTGTATGAGGAATAGCAAGGACGCCTGTATCACTGGATCGTAGAGTACATGGAAGGGAATAAGGTGTTAGATGACTAGAAAGGTAGGAAGAGGCCAGGTTATAAATGGCTTTAAAAGCCAAATGGAAAGATTGTGTATTTTATCCTGGGGGTAATAGGGAGCCACTGGAGTTTATTGAATAGAGGTGGGTGACAGGGTCATACTTATGCTTAAGGAAGATCAATTTGATAACTGGTTGGAGGATGGACTGTAGCTTGAAGAGAGTTGAGGCAAGAGAGACCAACCAGAAAACTATTGCAATAGTCCAAACTTGAGGTAATGAGGGCGTTCACTATGGTGGGAGAAGTGTCAGAGAAGAAAGGGGCATGTATGACAGATGTTTTAAATGCAGATACGATTAGAGGACAACTGATTGGATGTGGGGTGTGAGAGAATGTGGATGACACCTAAGTTTTGAACAGGAGTGATTGGATGGTGGTACTCTGGATAGTAGTAAAGAATTTAGAAAGAGGGGAATATTGGGTATAGAAAAAGAAAGTCCAGTTTTGTACATATTGAGTTTGAGGTATCTACTGTATATCTGTTTTGAGATGTTTAACACGTAGTTGGAGATTCAAGAGTGAAGGTCAGGAAAGAGGTTAAGGCTGGACAAATAGATCTGAGGATCATCTGCACAGAGATGATTGAATTTATGGGAGCTCATGAGTTCACCAAGTGAAATAACATAAAGAAAGGAGAGAAGAGCGCCCAGAACAGAACCTTGAGGGACCGTCACTGTTAAAAGGTATCTTCTGGATGAAGATCCAACAAAGGAGGCAGAAGGAATGGTCAAACATGTAGGAAGAGAACCAGGAGAAAACAATTGTCACAGAAACATAGAGAGAAGAGGGTATCAAGGTAATGTGAGGGATATGTCAAAGGCTACAGAAAAGTCAAAAAGGATAAAGATTGAGAAAAGGCCAGAGATTATTAGGGACTGTGGAGAGAGCAGTTTCACTTGAGAAAAGATACTAGTAGTGGTCCAGATATCTGGAAAGTTTTCATTCTCCCTCTTTGGTTGGTAAACATTTTGTTCAGTCATTCCTGATTCTTTGTGACCCTGTGGACCATATCACATGAATACTATTCATGGGGTTTTCCTGGCAAAGGTACTAGAGTGGTTTGCCATTTCCTTTTCCAGTGCATTAAGGCAAACAGGTTAAGTGACTTGTTCAGGGGCACAAAGCTAGTAAATATCTGAGGTGGGAATCAGGTCTTCCAGACTCCAAGCCCAGTGCTCTATCCAATGAGCCACCTAGCTGCTTCATAAACATCCTTTTAAAATCCAACTACTCAAAAAAAAAAAAGTCCAACTTATCCATTAGGAAGCTTTCCTTGATTCCTCTCTCTTATCATAAATAATGACCTCCCTGCCCCCTTGCAGTACTTTGTTTTATACCTTTCTAATGCAATGAGCTTTATTCTTGACTCTCTTAGGGGTCTATTGCAGGGCTCTGTAAGCTGTAAGTACCTAGCACTATATATTTGCTGAATGAATAGAAGTGCTAGCAGAAATTTTCTTTATTAAAATTTTTAATTGTTATCTTTTGTTTTTATTGCTCCCTCCCATCCCCAGAGAGATCTCTTGTAACAAAGAATAAAGAGAGAAAAGAGGCAATTCAGCAAAACTAACACAGTGTCTTAAGTAAAAAGTCTAAAAGGTCTTCACATTATCTATAATCCCACCACCACTTTAGACAAGGTAGGAAGGTACATTTTCTGCCCTCTCATTGGGAACTAGGCTTGATCATTATAATTATACAATATGTGGAATTTTTCGTGTGTTGCATCTATTTAAGTTATCTGAGTCAATGGATATCTTGTTTTCTTGGTTCCTCTTACTTAACTTTACATGAGTTCATGTCTTCCCATGCTTCTCTTTATTCGTAATTATTTTTTCTTATGGTACAATAAAATTCCATTGCATTCACATACCACAATTTGTTTCTCCATTCCCTAATTGATTGTTTACAGTTCCTTGCCACTCTAATAAGTGCTGCAAGAAATATTTTGGCATTGTGGGACATTCCTGTCATAGACTGTTTTAGTATATGTGCCTGCTTATGGGCATTTTCATCACTTTCTTAGCACAGTTTCAAA